TGCAAAATTTTTCTACCATTTAATAAACACATTACTTGTGAATTTATTTTTGCAAGAAAATATGCAAGAAATAAAATAAAATTCTTACAATATTTTCTACAAATTTTTACCATGGAAAAAATTTCTATGATTATTAAAATTGTAACAAAATTTGTAAGAAATATCTGTAAATTATTTTTTGCAAATAAATTCACAAAAAAATTTACGAATATTTTTTTCAGGAAAATTCGTAAAAAGATTTCTGCAAATATTTTTTTTAGAAAAATTTGTAAAAAATTTCTGCAAATATTTTTTTTCAGGAAAATGACATTTTTCTAGTAGTGGAAGTAAAAGAACTTTTAAACCTAAAATTAAATATAAAAATTTCATTTGTGTTCACAATTTCTTATATAGAGGCATTTCTTTTTAACAATTTAAATGGTTACTTTTTAAGATGTTAATGGTCAATTCTATAATAGCTGGTATGTTATACTTGCCTTGATTTCATTCGTGTTAAATGATAATGTATTCAGTTTTAAAGAAGAAGAAAAATATATTCAATTCGTAAATTTTGAAATTATTGATGAAAGCTATACTTTCAATTTTAGTGCATCACTTACTTAAATTTCGTCTATAGTTTAAAATAAAATTCATCTGTATTAAAAATTATTATTACAAATAATTTTCATTTTCTTTCAATAAATACACTTTTTAACACACTCTTCTTAATATGCTTATTTTTATTGATTAAAATTTATTAAAAATTAGAAAATCGAAATATAGACAAATAGAAAGAAAAAGAATCATTAAATAATATATGAGATTTATTAAATTTTATGTATTTTAACAAATTTTAATCAATGAGACAGTATGTTTAAAAGAATGTAATAGAGTGTTTTCATCCCTTCTCTTCAACCAAATTGGTACAAGGGAATGCATACAAAAATATAGAAAGGTTTTGTAATTATTTTTGTAGGCCTTAATTTTAGCAGGCACGGATACTACGACAGGGACAATGACTTGGACTCTCTCATTACTTCTCAACCATCGTGAAATCCTAAATAAAGTCATCCACGAGTTAGACACAAAAATTGGGAGCAAAAAGATGGTAGAGGTATCAGATTTAAAGAAGTTAGAATATCTTCAATGTATCATTAAGGAAACATTACGCTTGTACCCAGTTGGACCACTTAGTATGCCACACGAGTCCATAGAAGACTGCACTGTGGGTGGATATCATGTGTCAACTGGCACACGTCTCTTGACTAACATTTCAAAACTTCAACGAGATCCCTCATTATATTCTGATCCTTTAGAGTTTCGCCCAGAGAGATTTCTGACAACTCACAAGAACATAGACATCAAAGGTCAACATTTTGAATTAATTCCATTTGGAGCAGGTAGAAGAATGTGTCCTGGACTCTCTTTCAGTCTTCAAATAATGCAACTTACACTAGCTTCTCTATTACATGGGTTTGACATTGTAACTCTTGATGGAAGACCTGTCGATATGCTTGAACATATTGGACTAACCAACATCAAGGCTTCTCCACTCCAAGTCATTCTCACACCGCGTCTTTCTCCTCATATTTATGATGAAATTTAAATGGTTATAATGTAGAGTATTGAGATAATCTAACAAATACGGACAACAAGAATTAAACCTATTATGCTTAAATATCTCATTAATTATGTGTGATGAATTTTAATTAGGATGTGTCCCAGCATCCATGGACAAAAGGACTAAGAATGGGTTGATATGTATTTCGTGTGTATGAATTCATGACTATATTATTTGTATTTGATTAATAACCATTTGGTTGAGTTTCTATAAAAGATTGAAGAGGAAAATGTGGAAAGAGTATGAATTCTAAGTATACTCAGTACAATGTTGAAAAATTCTTCAAATTAATATCATAGAGTTGGATAAAGAGTTAAGAAAAGGTGAAAAACTGTGAATTAAAAAAAAAAAAAAAAAAAAAAAAAAAAAAAAAGACAAGTTTTCAAGCGTTAATGATCAAAATCTTCCATTCTATTTTGCGGTATCAGCTTATAAACTTCTTAATTTTGTGATATGGACTAAAAAAAAATGTGATGTAGAGATACTTATTGTATAATAACATAATACTTATTATTAAAAATTATTTTTATCTATATTATAAATATAATATATATTGGTATACTATTAAAATATTAAAATATGTAAGTATATACTACAGGAATACAATATATGTTATTAAATCTCATTCAAAATTAACACTAAAATTATATGTAACTAAATGTTAAATAAATTTATACTTACATATATTATTTATAACATTTATAACATATAATAAAGGAGATTGTCTCATACAGTGTACATATTTTTTTATAGATAATTTTACTCTTAAATTTTAAATAATAAAAGATAATATTAAAAATTAATCATTCTTATAAAAATATGATTTGAATTAAAGACTTTTAGATTTGAAGATCAAATGTAATACCAACTGATCTATCGCACATTAGTATTTTTTAAACATTTCTATTGAATATAGAGATACCAAGTGTTTTAATCTCACTAATATCTATAATGACAGTTTTTATATGTTATATATATATATATATATATATATATATATTTTTTTTTTTTTTTTTGTAACTATGACTTATAATTGTTGTTTCAATTTAAATTAATATATTGAATTCTCCAAATATACTGCAATACATTCACCCTATAATTTATCTTATTTCAACTTAATTGTATGTGATTTCCTAAAAAATAATTTTAATATATTAAACTTTATTAACCCATCTGTTAAATATTTTCACACCGACTAATGATCATGCACACCATGATTTAGATACACTAAACATATGTAGTAGTTATGTATTTTATAATCAGTTATTTATATTTTTAAAATATAGGAATATAGTTTAATTTCCATATATTTTTAGCCTATAAAATTTTACTATTTTAATTAATCAAAAATATTGTTTCATATTACTTTCAAGTAATTATCATCGAAAAAATAATTCAAATTTTTAATTTTAAATCTATAAGATATTATTTAGAAAATATTATTTGTCTTTAGAATCCTGTTTAAAATTAAAATATTTGTATTTAGGAATTTATTTCCTCTTTTAAAATCATGATGTTAAGTCAATGAATAGAAACTTTCGAGATGAGAAAGAGTACCTTACTTATAGAGGAGTTACCATCCTAAATGAGAGATGAGATCATATGAAGTAGGATCATTACAAAAAAAAAAAAAAATTGTCATGTAATGATACACATCTTATAATGACATAATATTTATCACTGAAAATTAATTTTACTTATACTGTAGACACAATATATGTTGATATATTATTAAAAAGTGTAGGTATAGTGACACTTGTATATGTCATTATATGTAATATTTCTTATTATTAAGTTTCACCGTAAAATTTATGTTGAAGGATTTCCGACTTTCATCTATAAACTTGAAAAGTTAAAATAAAATTTTGTGTTATCTTTTCATATTTCTCTTATGGTATTTTTGTATGATTTTTTTATATTTTTCTTATGGTATTTTTGTGTGCTCATCATTATTATACATAAAGAAAAAGACGTGAAGTTTTATTTTTTTCAACAATTATTATAAAAGTTAACAAATTTATTATATATTTAATTTATATCGAATAACAATGTGAAAATTATTTACCACGTTTCTCCAAAATATACCCTAAATTAATTTAATATAATATAATATTAAATACTTTTAAACTTACAAAAAAATGAGAAAAAAAGACATTTTATATCTTTATATAATTATTTTAAAAAAAAATAAAAATAAAGATAGTAAACATTGGATAATGCGAGTTGATACAAGTAGTGGAAATATAAACAATTTGTAGTTATAGTGTTCCTAGAAGAGAGAGACAACGATGCTAAAATTAATGGAGAAAATTAAGAGTGATTGTTTCATCTATATTACTATTCAGGGATATAACCGTCTCAAGAAGAATGTAAAACAAAATCAGTTACCGTGAATGACATCTCTTTTATATATAACCTAGAAGGGTTCAGACACTTCGTGTATCTAATAATTATATATAGATATAGTATTAAAAAATTGTATATAATTATTTAAAGAGAATATAAGATTTTTTTTACACCTTAAAATTATAATAGTACACTAAAAAGTGAAGATTAAAAACGTTTACATATCTCTGTATCTCTTTTATAATACTTCTGTATCTCTTTTATAATAAGTATAGATATAGAAATAAATTTAATATAATTGACAAAAAAAATCAAATTTTACATTAAATTAATAAATAAATAATTATTTAAAAAATTAGTAAAATATTTTCAAATTAACTTAATTTCTCTCTAATATCACTGAGTCAATTTAGTGATGAAAATTAAGAATTTGACTTAAAATATATAAAGTGAGTATAAAAAAATTGAATTGAACTATATAAACTCAATTAATTTCATAAAAACTTCATTGAACTTTTTTTATTAAAAAAATTGAATTAAATTAAACTATACAAATTAAATTATTTTATAAAAAAGTAAATTTTAAAATATTAAAAAAAAAATAGTTTGCCTCTGGCCTTGCTGGCCAGGCTTCTAAAAATATGACCCAAAATATTTGGACCAATTTGGTCAGGTCCAGGGGCCAACAAACTGCATCTCTGCCCCTCTAATGGATAAGACCAAGTTATGTATATGTATTTAATGGTAGATACACAAATTTTGGTTAAAATATTTTTTTTCCTTTTTTTATTTATTTTTTTTTATTTTTTTATTTTTTTATAAAGATAGAAAAAATTATAAAAATGATCAGAATAAATATTAAACATAAATCTTCATACTTTTAAATAATTTTTATAGTTTAAAATAGATATTTGTAATTTATATATTTATTTATTTATATATTTTTATTTTTTATATAAAACGATGGGCAAGAAGAGTCCGAAAGCACGCAGGTACATTTCATGTCTGATTCTCCATCGTTGTCGGTGTCCTCGAATATCGCATCCCACCGCCCTTTAAATTTATTTTTAACTTAATAATAAAATAACGACATATTCTGTCACCACCTCTTTTATGTATACAAGTGCCTTCCCTTCCAACGCCACCACAATACTCTTAACTCTGAAGTAAGTCTGAAGCGCTTTTTTTTATCACTATTCACACACACTAGCTACTTGTCATCAAAATAAAACATGTCTTCGAAACGCCAAAGTCATGCGTCAAAGGGCAAACAAGTGGATAATACTGGCAGCAACGAGAGAGGCACCGAGGAAGAAGATGGAGAGTTGGAGTTGGAGTTGGAGAAGGAGGATTTGGTGTCTGTGACGAGACACTTGTGCATAAAACCAGTTCAGAACTCTCAGAAACTGGATAAAGAAGCGGTTCTGCGGCGAATCCGTCACCGGAAGCGGATGAATAAGCTGCGATCCACAGTGGAAGCCTTCCTATTCTCCACCGACACACGCGATATCGATGCATCTCTTCAGGGAAAGA